TCCCACAGGGGGAACTGTGCTCAGCCACAAGCCAGGCTGATGGCTGCCAGCACAGCAGTGGTGGCAGGAGCCTCTCCCGCCTCCTCAGCAGCGCTAAAAATGTCCAACTGCAGCTTAGGTCTGCTCCCTGCTGGTAAGTGGACATCCCCCGAGGGCTGCCGGCTGCCAGAGGGATGTCTGACTGCCAGCTTGGGCATGATCCCCCAGGGAGCGGGCCTAAGCCAGCAGGTGGACATCTTCCGAGGGGTCCCAGACTGCGAGAGGGCACAGGCCGGGCGGAGGGGACCCCCCCCCAAGTGCACAAATTTTTGTGCACTGGGCCTCTAGTACTTCAATAAAGTCAAACCAAAAAAATAGATCTCGGCGGCTACTGTGGTCATGTGTAGTTGGACCTTGGTCAAGTGAAAGTGAAAAGTGGCCAGGCACCCTTTCCTCTTTTTTGCTAGAAACAGGAAATGCAAGCTGCCTGTTATATAGAAGTAAAAGTGAGAGTCCTTTTCTCTTTCCTCTTTATACCCAAAACTGGGAATCAGGGAACTAAGATTTCCCCTCTGAAATCAACTAGCAAATTTGATGTGCACAGGCTGAGATAGGTGGGACTGAACCCAGACACCGTCTAGAAATAACATGACTGAGAGTGTGGGTACCCGTTGCTCTTCCAAAGCAAATGAACAAGCAGGGGCAGTGCTCCAAGTTCTGCCCACTGGGAGGTTTTCCCCTCACCGCTGTCCTTCAGGGATGTCCAGCAAGAAGCTGCAGTGCCTCTCCAGTGGACCATCTTTGGGCGGTGTCTGCAGATCACGCAGAACCATCTATAAACCAGACACGAGTTTTTCTCCTCCTCATTCAACTGGACATAGGGAATTCCTCGTGAGGTCATAGGTGTGTGGCTGGGAGTAAGAAGGCAGTGTAGCAAGAGTAGGGGCCGTGGGCATTTGGGTCACTTCCTCACGTAACTTACTTGTGCTTTCAGGGCCTGCTTGGTCCTGTCTCATGTAAAGCGTGTCCCAAAATACCATGCAAGAAGTAATTTTGATAGAAAACACAGATTTTATAATTAAAAATTGTAAATTTTTATTGATTCATAAAGTATACAGTATAGGGTTATGTATGGAATAGCATATTGGGTAAATGGCCTCCACGGCTTTGCTGGCACATATACACTCTTTTGTTGAAATTTTCCATGACCATTTTGCATAAATGTGAAACCAAACAGTGACACGTTGTGGATGCACTTGCTTCTCAACAATCACTCGTGGATTTTCTGAACCCCAAATGTGACAATTTTTATTGGATTAACAAAGCCATCAAGATGAAAATGAGCCTCATCGAAATTCAGCCACATTTATGCGAAAACGGTCATGGAAAATTTCAACAGAGTGCGTATGTGCCAGCAAAGCCGTGGAGGCCATTTACCTGGTATGCTATTCCATGCATAACCTAATACTATATGCTTTATGAATCAATAAAAAATTTACAATTTTTAATTATAAACCTGTGTTTTCTATCAAAATTACTTCTTGCGTGAATTTTGGGACACCCTTTATAACACCTCCATTCGGTGATGGCTTGGTGGGTCATACAGAGGTGGAAGAGCTGCTTCTCTTGGCAACGAAGGGGTTCTATACCCCCAGCTTCCTTGGAACTTCCCATATGTCCCCATCCCAATTTTCAGGATCTCTTTTCCCCAGTCAATGCCCTCACTTTAACAGAAGATACCCTGCAAGGCTGTGGATTTGCTTTGCATTCTGATTTGGCCACTGCAGGTTGAGAGGTGGTTTGGTTTTCAGAAATCTCAGTCTGCGGGCCACAGGAGATAGATTTCTTTAAGGACAGATCTAGAAGTTTTCAGGTCACTCATGCAAAACTTGAGCTGACAATCTGAAGCCCTGAGCTAACCTTCTTCTTTGCTCACTTTCTCTAGGACAACGGAGAGCCACCAGCCAATGTCATTACACACCTTAGATTGACTTAAGCATCTTAAAGTGTCGAATACATGGATGGTCACCCAGAACCTTGCCTTTGTAGGTATTTGATTAAGAGCACACATTGGCAATATTTTCCCTATCTCTATTGCCCATCACAACAAGATGACAAACTTTTTTATCACCCACAGAAGTTTCATCATGCCCCGTTGTATTCAAACCCTCTCTCCACCCTCAACCCAGGCAACCACGGATCTGACTTCTGTCACTGCAGATTAGTTTGCATTTTTTACAAGGTTCTGTAAATGCAGTCACCCAGTGTATCCTCTTTCTCACTTCCTTCACTCAGCATCATTTTGAAATTCATCTATGTTATGGCACGTGTTAATAGTCGGTTCCTTTTTACTGCTAAGAGTATGCCACTGTATGGGTATTCCACAGTTTATGTACCCATTCACCTGATGATGGACACCTGGACTGCTTCAAGTATTTGTGCTATTATAGATATAGCTGCTATGAATAGCAGAAATAGCTGCTATTATGAACAAAATTTTGTATGGACATTAATTTTATTTCCTTTTTAAAAAATATGTCTTTATTGATATGAGAGAGAGGAAGGGAGAGGGACACAGAGAGAGAAACATCAATCAGCTGCCTCCTGCACACCCACTACTGGGGACTGAACCCCCAACCCAGGCATGTGCCCTGACCAGGAATTGAACCAGTGACCTCTTGGTTCATGGGTTGACATGCAACCACTGAGCCACACCGGCTGGAGCTGGTTTTTGTATTCTTGAGTAAATACATAGGAGTGGGATGGCTGGATCACATAGGTGTGTGTTTAAATTTTGAAGACTCGGTCAAATTGTTTTCCAGAATGGTTATATCATCTCTTCAAGTTAAAGCTGTCACCAAATAGCCCTTCATTGATCAAGTGGGTCAAAATCTTTGTGTGAAATCAGTGTTGAAATGAAATCTTGAAATACTAGTCTGACACATATAATGAGGACTGAACCTCCTCTAGGCATTTCTAAGAGTGGTAAGAAGACAGATGGAGGGGGACATTCCACCCCAGCCTAAGGGGTCAGATACTGTTTAACGCCTCAACCCCAACCCTACACCCAATCTTGGAAAACAGCTTGAACCAAGCCATCCCCAAGAAACCTGAGTCCTCGGAGTCAGGCAAGCTGAGCTGAATCCCACTCGGCCACATCACAACAAGATGCAGAATTTGATCCTAGATTGGATCTTGACTGGAGGGAAAAAGCTATGATAAAGAACATGATTGAATCAACTGACTGAGCGGGAATACCCATGAGTAGATTAGACACCAGTGTTAACATTCACACGGAATTTACTGATGTTGATAACTGCACTTTCTTGCTATTTGACTGTGGCCCAGTGACTTACCTCTGGGCAGCTCTGCTGGCTCATCCATAAAGTTCAAATATGGGTAGTGCCCTCCTTACTGAAGTGTTGCTATGAGGTCTAATCAAATCAGAGGTTGGCAGAGAGATGGAGGCTCCCGAAAGCCATGCTTGTCTGTGCAGATCCTCCTGCTAGACAGGCAAAGATCCCAACAGCCTTGGGCTTTTGAAGTTATGGAATCAGGGCCTCCAGAGGGGCTTCTGGGACCTCTGTTCACTCCTTCCCAGCCTGAACCCACTTCAGAGGGCACCTAGGGATACAATTTAGGAGAAGCTCTCTAGCTCCCACTCCAAGGTCCAGATGTCTTACCTGCTACAGATTCCGCCAATGAACGAACGGACTACTTGGCCAGAGGGGGAAGTTCGGAGTATTATACTAACAATAAAGACTTCTGCAGGAAACAAATGAAAAAGCAAGGCCATTTGGGTGACTCTTTGAGGAGGCGGAGAATCTAGATCAGCGGTTCTCAACCTGTGGGTCGCGACCCCTTTGGGGGTCGAACGACCCTTTCACAGGGGTCGCCTAAGACCATCGGAAAACACATATACAATTACATATTGTTTTTGTGATTCATCACTATGCTTTAATTATGTTCAATTTGTAACAATGAAATTGGGGATCACCACAACATGAGGAACTGTATTAAAGGGTCACGGCATTAGGAAGGTTGAGAACCACTGCTCTAGATCATGACTTCATGCAAAGAGGAACTTGGGAAGGAAACACAAGAAATTAATCAAAGTGGTTTGAAGGAGGACAGGAGAGTAAGGTTTTGCACCATCTACTTTTTGTTTGTTTTTAGCTTTTAAACTATCGATTTGAAAAGAATTTCAAACAGAGAAAGATGGCAGGACTAAGAACAGCACATACAGAACTCACACTGTTGACACTGTCACTGACTGTTGCTAACATTTTGCCCCACAGCATTTTCCTGTGTGCTTGCAGGCATATTCTCTCTCTCTCTCTCTCTCTCTCTTCTCTCTCCCTCTCTCTCTCTCTCTCTCTCTCTCTCTCTCTCTCTCTCTCTCTTTCTGAATTACTTAAAAATAAATTGCATAGCCCATGGCTCTTCATCCCTAAATATTTCAGTGTGTACTTCCTGAGAATAGGGATGACACATTACATAACCACAGTGCAGTTATCAATGTCAGTAAATTCTGTGTTGACATTAACATTTGTGTCTAATCTACTTCTGGGTATTTGGCTCAGTCAGTTTATCCCATGATGTTCTTTATAACAAGTTTTCCCCTCCAAGCAAGATCCAACCTAGGGTCATATCCTGCATCTGGCTGTCATGTCTCCTTACCTCCTTTAATCTGGAATCATTTCTCAGCCTTCCTCACAGGGACATTTTTGAGGAATAGAGCTCCCCTCTTTCTTTTTCTTTTTACATTAATTTCTGAGAAGAAGGAAGAGGGAGAGAGAGTTAGAAACATCGATGATGAGACAGAATCATCTATCCTCTGGCTACTCCACACCCCGCACTGGGGACTGTGCCTGCAACCGGGCATGTGCCCTGATCGGGAATTGAACAGTGACCTCTGGTTCATAGGTTGGCGCTCAACCACCGAGCAACACCAGCCAGGCAAGCTCCCCCCTTTCTTAATAGAGCATTCCACATGTTGAGTTTGATGAGTTGTCATCTTTGGATCTGGGTTATGCCTTCCTGGCTAGAATAGTGATATTGTGTCCTTCTCAGGACATCACATCTGGAGGCACGTGATGTCCACCTGCACCCTCATTGAGGATGTTAATTTTGATCATTTTGTCAAGATGTTGTCCAATTTCTCTGCTATCTAATTACTATTGTTTAATAAGTAGCCTGTGTGGTGACACTTTAAGATCATGAAAATATCCTGCTTGTCAGTAAAATTCCTCACCTTAGACTTAGTGTCCATTGATGGCTCTTGCTTGAACCAACCTTCACTATGATGGCTGCACAGTGATTTTCCAACTCCAGCTCTGCCTCCACTTTGACCTGCTGGCCTCCAGTCCTCTCCTGTGTACAGAGCCCTCCTCTCTAACCTGTCTATTGTCTCACTTGCTTTCTTACTTACTATCAATCTGGAGTTGTTTCTCAATATGTATCTTTGATTTTGATCAATGATTCACATTGACTCCTGTGACTGTATTACTGATGCAATAAGAATAATGTGCAGTGACCTGCAGTGACCTTCATAGGGTCGCAAATTTCTGTAACTCTTGAAGCTAATGCTATTTCATGTCCTCCTGTAGATCTAACTCTGCCTTAGACTCTGACATTAATAGAAGGGCCCACCCTCTCCAGCCTAACACTCAAATAGGTCACACTGACTTCAAAATCCAGATTACACTGGCCCTCGCAAATACATACCCCCCATGACAGGACCTTAGCACTGGTCTTCCTGACCCTCATCTCCCAAAGCCTATTCAGTGCATGATGAGGACTTGACATAGTCTCATGTGTTATCATCAACAAGGCTGCAGTATTATTCTTCCTTTCCATCCCTTCATGGTATCCTTGGCCTACACAGCTACCCAAGGCTGCCCCTTATCACTGCCATGGTTGCATATGTTCCCTGTGAATGTACTGCTCACTGAAGCCAGGATGCTCTCCCCAAGGGCTCCCAATGCCACAAGACCTTTGATGTGAATAGGCCTATGCCTGGTCTCATGTCCATGGGGCTGAGGCTCAAACAGAGCCATCCATATTGCTGGACTTGGTCCCATTAGATCATGAGACCGTGGAGACCTCCAGTCAGAAGTTCATGTATTAATAGCAATTCATTCCTGCCAAGGACTCCACTCTGATGCTGATGCCAAAGACCTCTGGCGTTGTTCTCTGCCCTGGAGCCTACTTTCCCACAGACGGGTCCAGACCTTAACAGTGGTAACCAGGTCGCTGTCCACACTGTGCTATACCCAGAACTGGACTTCTCCTTTTGCATGTTGAGTCCACATGAGGCTGGAACTCAGCCTCACCTCTGTGCAGCCTGACCAATGTTTTAGAACTTTCTGTTTTAAAATGTATATACTGACTCTGGAAAGGAAGAAGTAAAACCATCTCACTATGATGATGGCATGATTTTACAGAAAAGCCTAGATTTATAAAAACAAAACAAACAAACAAAAAAACTAAAAAAAACCCACACTATTAAAGCTAGTAAAAGATGAAGAATATAAGATCAATATATAACAATCAGTTGTATCTTTATACTCTATTAATGAACAATCTGAAAATAAAAGTAAGGAAACAATTTCATTTACAACAGCATAAAATTAAATACTCAGGAATACATTTAAGCAAGAATGCATGGAATCTGTATATCAAAAACCACGAAACACCATGGGAAAAAGTTAAAGAATACCTAAGTAAATGCAGTGTTCATGGATTGAAAAACTCAATATTGCTAAGATAGCAATACTCCCCAAATTGATCTACAGGTTCAATGCAATCCCTATTAAAATTTATTTTCCATTTATTGATAGTGTCCTTTGACCCACAATAGTTTTATAGTTTTAGTGCTGAACAATTGGGCCCTTAATCCATTTTGAGTTAATTTTTGTATCTCACATGAAGTAGGAGTCCAAATTTATTCTTTTGTATCTGGTTGTCTCTGCAACATTTGCTAAAAAGGCTAATATTCTCCCACGGAGTAGTCATGGCACCCTTGTTGAAACCACTTGCAATCACACTCCATTTATCTGTTTACAATCTTAAACAGAAGAATACAGTTGGAGGCCGCATATTTCCTGATTTCAAAACTTACTACAAAGTTACAGTCATCAAAACAGTGGAATGCTGGCCCAAGACAATAATGGAATATAATTAAGAGTTCAGAGCTAAAACTGAAAAACTTTGGGCAGGAAACAGGTACAAATCTTTGTGTCTTTGGATTAGACAGTGGTTTTTTAACTATGACACCAAAGCCACAAGAAACGAAAACAACTTATAAATGTACCTTTATCAAAGTTAAAAACTTTTGTGTGTGAAAGGACACCAGCAAATAATTAAAAAGGAAACCACAGGATGGATAAAGTTATTTGCATATCACATATCTGATAGGAGATGGGTGTCCAGAATCTATATATATAAAAGCCTAATATACAACGTGTTCCCTTGGGAGTTTGACTACCCGTGAATTTGATCACTCACTATGACGTGTGCTGACCAACAGAGGGCGACATGGAATGAAGGGAGGCCCCGGCCAGCAGCCAGCAGCCGCTAGGGACCCTACCTGTGCACAAATTTTGTGCGCTGGGCTTCTAGTATATAAATAACGCTTTTAAGAATAAAAAGCCAAATAACCCAAATTTTAGAAAGGCAAATGCTCTGAATAGATACTTCCCCCAAAAAATACCCAATAAAGTAAATTTCCAAATGACATGGAAAGATACTCAACATTGTTATTCATTAAGAAAATGTAAACATAAATCATAATGAGTCATCATTTCATACCCTATAAATTTTTTAAAGGAAGGAAACTAACATGCATTGGTAAAGATGTGGAGAAATTGAAACACTCATACAACATTGGTAGGAAAGTAAAATGGTGCAGCTTTGTGAAAAACAGTTTGGCAATTCCTCAAAGAGTTAAACATAAAGCTACTATACAATCCGGAAAGTTCACAACCCAAGAGAATTAAAAATATATGTCCAAATAAAATGTGTACATGAATGTTCAGAGCACCATTATTCATAATAGCCAAAAAGTCAAACAACCCAACTGTCCATCAACTGATAAATGGATAAATGACATGTGGTTTAACCATACAATGGGATTATACAGCCATTACTTAATCAGTTATTTAACCTTAAAAAGGAAGTACTGACATGCCACAACATGGATGAATCTTCAAAATGTGCTAAGTGAAAGAAGCCAGACACAAGAGATCACATATTGTATGATTCCATTTACATGAAATGTCCAGAATTGACAAAACCATGGAGACAGAAAGTAAATTAGTGGTTGCCAGGGGATGGAGAGAGGTGGGGAGTGGGATTGATTACTAACAAGCATGGCATTTCTTTCGTGGGGGGTGGTGATGGAGATGTTCTGAAATTGGATAGTAATGGTGATTGTACATTGTGAATATTCTAAAAACCTCTGAATTCCACAATTTAAAATCATAAATTTTTGCCTGGTCAGTGTTGCTCAGTGGTTGAGCATTAACCTATGAACCAGGAGGTCATGGTTCCATTACCGGTCAGGGCACCTGCCTGGGTTACAGGCTCGTTCCCCAGTAGGGGGCCTGCAGGAGGCAGCCAACAATGATTCTTTCATCACTTGTTTCTATATTCCCCTCTCTCTCACTTCCTCTCTGAAATCAATAAAAATACATTTAAAATAAATAAATAAAATAGTGAATTTTACGTTACATGAATTTTATCTTAATTTCAAATAATCATAATTACTTATAACCGGTACATTAATCAAATACAATTTTTGATAAAATAAAAATACAACTTAAAAAATACATTATCCTTTAATATCCCTTCTAACTCCAAAATTACCTGAACCTACCCTTGATAGATTCCAGTAGGAAGCCTGGTGGTAGGAGGAGGAGGGATTAGTGAAGACTCCATCTCCCACCTTCCTCCAACCTACTTTTGGTTTCTCATGAGAAGCACCATTTCTGCCTGAGGCACATGGAAAGAGGTGTAGCTACAGGTGAGTTCCTTTTAAACTTACGTTCTCCTGTAATTTTAACAGGAATTCTTAGACTTTGGTGGCCAGCAGAACCACCTGATGAGCTCATAAATGTGCAGATTCCTGAGCCCTCCCTCCAGAGGCTGGTTCCATGGGTCGGTGCATGGTGCTTGGAGTAGAACTGTCATATATAACACTTTTCTTTTCCTTATGCTAAAGAAAGTAGAGGGGATTAATTTGTTATAAGTTTTTATGTAAGGTGTGGTTGTTATTGGTAGTTAGATAATTTAGAACTGTGTTTCTCAATCCAAAATATCTTGCGGACCAGAAAGATAAGTTTACTAGGGTTGAGGAGGCCAAGGAGATGGGGAGGGAGAGCAATGACAGGCAAAGGGGAACCAACTAGAATGTAACTCAGAGTGGTTTAGGGTCTGGCAACATTCTCCTTCATATTCCGAAGGCCTTCCGGGCCCAGACTGAGTACCTCTCTCAATTTTTGAGTAAATGAATGAATAACCAAGAGAAAAGTGGAGCGGTTTTTGTAGATGCCCAATATCCCCTTTATTTTTAATTTGCTGAGAGTTTATGTCATGAATGGGTATTGAGTTGTGTCAGATGCTTTTCTGCATTTATCAAAAAGGACTATGTAGTTTTGTCGTTATTCTGGTTAATATGGTGAATTATATAGATTATTTTTTAAAAGAACAATTCTTTTTTAAATCGATCATTATTGATTTCAGAGAGGAAGGGAGAGGCAGCGAGAGATAGAAAAATCAATAATGAGAGAGAATCATTGATTGGCTCCTTCCTGCATGCCCCACAGTGGCGATTGAGTCCACAACCCGGGCATGTGCCCTGACCTTCAGAATTGAACAGTGACCTCCTGGTTCATAGGTCAACACTCAACCCTGAGCCATGGCAGTCGGGCAGATTAATTTTTCAAATATTGAACCAATCTTATATTTCTTGGATAAAGACCACCTGGTCATGGTGCATTGTCCCTTTTAAATATATTGTTGGGTTTGATTTGCTAATATTAGGTCAAGGGTTTTGCTTCTATGTTCAAGAGGAAGTTTGGTTTGTCATTTTGGGTGGGGGCGGGTGTTGCAATATTTTTGTCTGGTTTTGGTATCAGTATTGTGCTGGCCTCATAAAATGGTTTGGGAAGTATTCCATCTTATATTTCAGATAGTTTTTATAAGATGCATATCATTTCTTCCATAAAGTTTCACAGAATTCACTAGAAAAGTCATCTAGAGTTTTCTTTGTGGGAAAATTTTTTTATATAGTTAACTAAATTTCTATAATAAGTGCAGGACATTTCAATTTGCCATATCATTTCATGTCTGTTTTAGTAAGTTGAATTTTTTAAAGTTTTTTCCCATTTCATTTAAGTTGTTGAATTTAAGATAAAAGTAATATATTTCTTTGTTATTCATTTAAAGTCTGTAAGATCTGTAGCAATCACCATTCTTTCATACCTGCTGTTGACAGTTTCCGTTCTCTGTTTTCACTCAATCTAGCTAGAGTTTTATTGCCTTACAAATATTTTTCAAACAACCAGATTTTGTTTTGTACATTTTCTCTCTTTTACTTTCTATTTCTTTATTTCTTTCTTTATCTTTATTATTTCCTTCCTTCTACTTACTTTTTGTTTAATTTGTTCTCTTTCCAGTTTCTGGGCCACTGATTTTAGATCATTGATTTTTAACCCTTTCCTTTTTCTAATTAAAGCATTTAAAGCTATAAAATTTTCTCTAAGCACTGCTTTAGTTATATCTCATGAATTTTGATATGTGCTATTTCCATTATTATTATTCAGTTCAAAATATTTTACAATTTGCCTTGTGATTTGTTCTTTGACTCCTAGAGTCTTTAGAAGTATGTTGTACTTCCAAGTTACCAAGGTTTTTCTAGGTATCTTATTATTATTTGTTTCAGATATTCTCAGTGTCTAGATGGAGCCCTCAGGCACCCCAGAGTCCACCACCCCTTATGATTACGATTCGCAGAGCCTTTTGTGTGAGACTCAGACCTTCACCTTTGCGACCTTCAATACCACCATCCTGTACTGCCTGGTATTCTTCCTCAGCCTGGTGGGCAACAGTCTGGTGTTGTGGGTCCTGGTGAAGTACGAGAGCCTGGAGTCCCTCACCAATGTCTTCATCCTCAACCTGTGCCTCTCAGACCTGGTGTTCTCCTTCCTGTTGCCTCTGTGGGCCTTGGTGTACCACTGGGGCTGGGTGCTGGGAGACTTCTTCTGCAAGCTCTCCAACATGATCTTCTCCATCAGCCTCTCCAGCAGCATCTTCTTCCTGACCATCATGACCATCCATCGCTACCTGTCTGTGGTGAGCCCCCTCTCGTCCCTGAAAGTCTACACCCTCCAGTGCCGCGTGCTGATGACCATAGCTGTGTGGGTCGTCAGCATCCTGTCCTCCATCCCTGATGCCATCTTCCACAAAGTGTTTGATCCTCCGGAATATTCATCAGAACCTTCGAAATGTGATTATTCAGAACTCAAGTGGTACCTGGCCTCGGTCTACCAGCACGTTGTCTTCTTCCTGCTCTCCATGACGATTATCCTGTTCTGCTACGTGGAGATTCTCAGGACTCTGTGCCGCTCGCGGTCCAAACGGCACCACCGGACAGTCAGGCTCATCCTCACCATCGTGCTGGCACACTTCATCAGCTGGGCTCCCTACAACCTCATCCTGTTCCTGCAAACACTGTTGAAACTTAAGATCATTCAGAGCTGCAAGGCCTACTGGCAGCTGGATTATGCCTTGCTCATCTGCCGTGATTTCGCCTTCTCCCACTGCTGCTTCAACCCAGTGCTCTATGTCTTTGTTGGGGTCAAGTTCCGCAGACACCTCAAAAGTCTGCTCCGGCACTCCGGGCTCTGCCGGTCACAGGCGCCCAGCCTTTCCCCAGTACCTCACTCCCCAGGCGCTTTCCACTCGGAGGGCGCCTCCTTCTATTGAAAGGGAGTTTGGCGCTGCAGGTTGAGATGGACAGAAGAGATGGAGGGGGAGCAGAGAGAAGTGGTACAAGAAAGAGCATTGCAGAAGGCACAACACTGGGGACGCTACGGCTGCAGGGGTGGGAGGTGAAAGAAATACGTTATAACAGGAGGTCCTACTGCAGAAAAGGGGCTCCCTGCCTGGAAATTTTATGTTGCCATCAAGAAAAACACTTCTTGGATTCTGAGTTTGTTATTCATTCCTTCATTTATTCATTCATTTAGACATGGGTTTGTTATTATTACTTAGTTCAGAAGGTTCTAAAACATAAAAGGATTCCCAGAAAGGAGCCTCCTTCAAGACTTGAGGAGGGGCTAAAACTCATGTGTGATCATTGTGCAAATGTAGGCTGCTGGCAAGGCAGTCTCTCCCATTCCTGACTGTACGGTTGTCCCAACTAATCTTAGAGAGCATTCCTCAGTGACGACTGGATGAGGACAAAAGTACCCACATCCTCAAATAAGCATAGTCAGACGAAATCTGGATTCTAAAAACCTACAACTGGACTGGAGATGTGTTCTGTATCATAATTCCAATTTCTAGCATATGTAGTCCATAGATCTTTTATTGAAAAAAAATAATGAATGCAATAAGTGCTGCCGTCTGCATGAAGCAAGTACTTGGAGGATATAAAGATGGACAAGGTACCAATGCCCAGCTCTGAAGGCCCAGGCTTGCATCCATCTTGGTGAAGGCAGCCAAGGGGAAGATTCCTCCAATATCTCATTCTCTCCCGGTAGCTACTGAGCTGACACTTCAGATTCATCATGTTCCACCTGGAATGTTCTCCTGCTTGGTTGACGGCACCAGCTTCCCCCCAGTTGCTCACCCTCCAAACCGGAGTGATCTTCAAGCCATGCATTTCCTTTCCCCCCACTCCCATGGCCAAGTTCTATTGACTCTGCCTTCCCAGTGCCTCTCAGAGTTGTTCTCGCCATTGCATGCTCATGGATTCATCCCCAATGGCCTCACTTCCTCCGCATCTTCCTGCTGCTCATCTCTTTCCCCACCAGCATCCACTGCATAAAGCATTTTCCCCTTCAGTTCCAGCTATAATTTCAATACTCTAGTTGCCATTGGGTGGCCAGCCTTGGAGGACATTGACCTTGCTGGGGAAGAGTGAAGGTCTAATTTTAAGAATTGGTCAGTAACACCTGCTGGAGAAGGTTGAGTGGTGCACCAGTGAAGGGACTAGCTAACCAATAGGTGGACCATCACCCACCATCTGTGGAAGAAATAGCCCACCACCTAAGGAAGGAGATGATGAGATGGTTTGGGGGTCTGAGCTAAGCCTGTGGGCTTCTATCAGGACAATTTGGCACCCCCTTAAACTGGGATTACTTAACTTTTGTCCAGCTTTTATTTCGATGGCAGGCTGAGGCCAGGGAGCAGAAAAACAGAGGATTCCAGATTACACACCCACTTGGCCAAACCAAAGCTCCATGGGTTTTGAGCCCATTCTTCTTAGAAGGCAGGCTTAAGGGGTCTTGTATCACCAGAGAGCATGGCCTTTGAGAGGCTTGATCCACTGTCTCCTTACCCCATCCCATTCCATCCAATCCCAAGATGCATATCTAAGTATTTCTTTCAACACATACAGCCATAGCCCTAGGAGCAGTTCATGAAATACAATCATGTCCATCTCTACATTTCTAGTGATGTTTTGGCACTCCCAATAGACTAGCTCTGAAAGTGATCTTTAACCAAGAGTCTTCTCCTAATCCAGTTCCTTGGGACTGCAAGGAAAGCGGCATAGAGACAGAAAGGTAAAAACTGGAAGGTAGAGGGACACCCTATCAAAAAGGGAGTGTGGGTGAGGCCAGGGACTGTACTCTACATTCTCTGACCACACCCTTCATCAGCTACAACCTCCTGCTTTCTTCTCCTTCCACCCACTAAAACCACTGTTGAACCTCAACCGGGCTCTTGTGAGCCTATCCCTCCCCTAATAGTGGAAATATGATACCCTGGTCACAGGGCTGCAGAACTGCCACACCAGAAACATATAAAATCCCCAGCGGTACCCAAGGAAGATCTTCTTCACAGCATTTCCACCCCCACACTCCCTCAAACAAAATCAAGAGGAGAGGAACCTTGCTGATCTCCAAATAAGAACGTACCTCCAAGCCCAGGGCAGCCCCAGACATCAGATAACCCCAGCCAGAGTGGAACTTCCTCAACAGCACAATCTGTGTTGCAAAACTAGAACCTGCCTTGTTCCCCCACAATATTTGTGTTTGGTTGAGTAAGTGGATAAGGAGACTCTCTTTTTGTTTTGTTTTTTTTGTTTGTTTGTTTTTTTCTACTTCCATTTCCTCTTCTGACATTTGCTTTTATTACATCCACCTTCCAGTCAACTTCATAGGCTTCCCATGGGTTCTGCTCCAGAGCCCACCCGCCCAGGCATCACCTGGTTTGTGGAATTCCTATGGCTTTCATTTGTGAAAGCTGCCTCTGGTGGGACAAAGAAACCCACAAGCATGGAAAGCCCAGTAGAAAAGACCCCCAAAGTAAACTGGCTGAGAAGTCTCTTGGGATTTGAGCCCTGGACTCAAACCCCAAATCCAAGCTCTTTACTTACTCACTGTGACCTTGGATCCCTCAGGGCCTCAGTGTCCTCATTTGTAAAACTGTATGTCAACAACACAAAGACAGATTCTACGCACACCGTGGAGGTGCACGTGAGGTTATGTGTGTAAAGTACTTGCTTTGTAAATCATTCAACCCAGACTTATTATGAGTTACGATTGTAATCATCTAATAAAAACAGAATCATTGTATCATATGCACAAATAAATCTCTACCCAAGATCATTACATAAGATTCCTAAAAGTTCTCTGCTTATGGGGGGAACTGGGTGAGGATTTGGGGTGAAGGGAGGGACACAGAAGAAGGGTTGGAGATAAAGTGTGAAACAAGTCCTGGGTGACTCAGGATGGTGGGAAATTGGCTCCATTTAGGCCTTAGGCAAAAAATTGTCTGGGGCCAAGTCTGTCTTGAGTGTTCCCTGGCTCAGTTTTTTGTCCCTGTCTCTTCTCTGGCCTAACACCCACGTCTCTGTCTCCAAGTCCAGGGCTTTTTCGTATCTCTTAATCCAACTGTGTCTGAACACAGACCAACCAGAAGGAATGATACTGCTTTCTGCTCGGAATTTTTTTTTTCTCACGAAGTCTTTGGAACTCAAGTGTATTCTGCACTTACAACACATGTACAGTAACTCAAACTAGCCACATTTCAAACTCTCAAAAGCCACACATGGATGGGTTGCTTTCCCGAAACCATGGTCTGTGTGTCCTCAGAGACTGAAAGGTTAACCTACAGCCAGATGCAAGGGAGAACCAGTAGGCGTTGTCAACCTCGGCTCTGCGGAGCATGCCGGGAGTTGTAGTCTGAGCCCATCTGCCGCTGGGGTCCGATGGGCGTTAGAGGCCTCGGGCTTGTGGTGCATGCCGGGAGTTGTAGTCCGCACCCGCTTGTGGCGGGCTCTGCGTATCATGGCCGTCTCCGCCGCGCACCCGCAGTCTTCCGCTCGGCCCCAGAAAGTTTCGGTTCTGCCCAGCGGTGGACCCACTAGCGCGTAAGTGCCACCGGGGGGCCGGCCGGACCCTGGGGGCGCCCAGGCTGCTCGCGGCCCCGGAGCGGAAAACTTCAAGGCACCTGTTGCCCTTTCCGTTCCCACCCCTCCTGAGTGTCCCGCAGACCCCGAGCCCTTGCCCAGCGGGCCTGGGAAGTGTCCACAGCGGGTGAAACTGGCGCGGGAGCCCAGGCTACCCCTGGTGGCCAGTGAGAAAGACCCCCCCAACGCCAGCTCCAAGACCTCCAACGGCCGAGGGGCGCAGAGGAACCCCCCGGTGGGGGGTCTCAAAACAAGCCTGGGGTGTTTTAGGCGCAGCGGGGAGAGGTCCCCAGCCTTCTGCTCGCATGGTCCAAGGCACTGACCTGAAGAAGCCAGTTCCTGGCTCAGCTGGGCCAGGACTGCCCCCAGACCCTTCACTTTGCGCTGCTCCACGGATGCTCTGATCTCTCCCCCTCCTCCCGTAAGAGGTTGGTTTGTTCATCCCGAGACATCCATCCTCAGATCACGGCCCTTGGCCCTCTACCCACTGCCCCTGGTGCCCAGGCACAGGCTCTCAGGTTGGCCCCCGGCCCTCCTTGCTGAAACACCTGTGGGTTTGTGCATGGGCTCCGGTGTGGCTGCTCCGCACTTGGGCAGAACCTCGGCTGGGGGACGTAGAGGGGGTGCTGAATGTTGTTGTTATAAGAAATCATGTGTGGTTGACACATTCACCACGTGGCTCCCTGTTCGTGCATCTTCTGATGCCTTTTGTCACTCTTCACAGTTGCCATTGGCTGCCCTCCCCAGGGGAAAAATAAAAAAATTAGAGCACGTAGTGAAACCGCCGGCGTTGGTCACAGCCTCTCTGCCCCTCTGCGCCCGCGTCTGACCGCAGCCGCTTCCTTTTCCGACAGAAAAATGGGTCAGGGGCTCCGAGGGCAGAGGATCAGGCCTTAATCTGCGCACTGCCCGCCTGCCGCCGCCGCCCGGGGCCTTTCGGTCTCGGTCGCAAGCTTAACTTCCCTGCCATCTGCCTCGTGCGGATGCTGGGGGCGCAGCCGGGGGAGCGCTGCCGGCCGAGGTTTCCTGCTTTTGGGGGCTCCCACCTGAAGTGCGCCCAGATGGAATGGGCCGCCTTCATCCCCCTTCGCTGACAAGAACTGCTTAGAAACGATTGAATGCCCTGTGCCGGTTGTGGGCCGTTACTGTCTTGACCCCGGAAAGCAGAGTTCATTGTCTCCGTGCTGGGCTGTGTGGCCTTCTTTGATTAAATGATTCCTGTTTTAGGAACCGGGTTTTCTGCTTCGGTTCGTTTTTTAATTGTTTGCAGGATTTGGTTAGGAAAATAGTTCAACGCACAGACTCTTGGAAAGACTTGTCTGGTGAACGCAGACCCACCTGCTCGATTCTAGGACCAGTATTTGACGTCGGTGATTTTTGTGCGTTGGAGTCAGTCCTCCAGCGGCTCCTTGGATGGTCTTTGCTCCTGTGGCTGGTTTCAGGGCACCGGTGTGGGCACCGGAGCCACGGTGTTAGCCTGGTCCTTTGGGGGCAGGGTTGGCACCCACAGATGTTTGTGATGAGAGGAACCATTTAGAGCAGATATCGGGGAGGAAAAATTATCCTCTGCCCTTCAAGGTTCTTCTGATGGGACTAATAGTCAAATTGACACGAGGCAGATTAGCAGGAGAAAAACAAATTAAGGGTTAATCACACATATCCAAGGGAGAGACCCAGGGAGAACTGTGTAACGCACCAAAATGGTGGAAGCCGACACCTTCAGTACCACCGGCAGCTAAAGACAAAAGCAGATGTTGGGGGTGGAGGGTCCTTTCTGGGAGGGTCCAGGGTGAGGCTGTTAATGCAGATTTAAGCTCCTGCCTTCTCCAGTGCAGGCAAAAGCAGGCCTGGTCCCCTGAGGGGGAAACACCCTTACAAATGGAGATTGCCCTTACAAATGTAAATGGCCTTTTACAAAGGGTAGCTTCAAGGTATTTTGGGCTTCTGGCACCTCTGCTGTTTCTTAAAATTAACTGGCCTGACGTGATCTGTATCCCAAAGAGGCCCACGTGGAGCGGTTAACTGCTTAACCTTCGACCGCCAGGCTGGAGCAGCTGGTGACGTTGACCTGTGTTGGTCACCGAGGCCGTGGGCTGCTGCCACCAGAACGCACAGCCGCCCTCTACTCCTGGCGGTCCTCCTCTTCCCCCTCGGCTGATGGGTTTTCTGGTGAATCCAAGGACAACTTGGGTGAGTCAAGACCAGAATGCCTTTAAAACTGGAGGCAGAGGAAGGGTGTTGTCTAGCTGTGGTCTCCTGGTGAAAATCACTGCTAGGAACTCACAGTTCGGTGCCTCATTCACTGGAGCAGCCCCAGTCGGCAGAGCAGGTAAGGCTCATGAACTGGTGTCAAAGCTAGGCAGAAGCCGCCTGTGAGCAGAGATGGGTGGACACTAACTGGGCAGAAGCCGCCTGTGAGCAGAGATGAGTGGACACTAACAGGGCAGAAGCCGCCTGTGAGCAGAGATGAGTGGACACTAACTAGGCAGAAGCCGCCTGTGAGCAGAGATGGGTGGACACTAACTGGGCAGAAGCCGCCTGTGAGCAGAGATGAGTGGAGTTTGGCCTTGTCAACATCTGCTCACCTAGTGGCTGAATGTCTTTGTCTTGCTCAAAAGATAAACAGTGTTCTCTATTTGTAATCTCAGTGTCAGGTTTGTTTTGTTTTTAAGCTCTTGATTGGCATAAGAGCCTTTGTTTGAGGAACTAAATACACGAGAGCATGGCTGTTGAAATGTTTCCACGGCTCTCTGTTTATCTCCTTGCTGTTTTTAGATGTGTCACTGTGCTGTCCCCATATTAAGAGGTTCACCCTCAGAGCACGTGGGCTCCATGGCTTTTAGAAGATGAAGATGGCAGAGATGTGCCGAGTTGTGCAGGAGGCATGCTCCCCTCTTCCTCACATTGAAGCCACTCAGCGTGGTGGTTGTAGTGACCACCAGTGGTCCTTCCTGTTCATGCAGTTCTGGGTGGCATTAGAAAGACACCAAGCGGCTGTTTATAGCTGGGCCAGATCCTGTTTTCAGGGACCAGGGTGTGTACGTCAGTGTGGTTCTGAGGACTGACTTAAGGAGAACCTGAGGTCTGGTTACAGCACTGTGGCCCTGTGGCTGGTTCAGGGACCCAGGGGCAGGTTTGACCAAACCATGGGAGGATGTAGGTAGTGCACCTTCAGCCTGAGGCAGAAAACTCTTGGGGACAAACTTGCAATTAAAAAAAAAAGCCACAACGGAAGCAGAAAAAGCATTCTAAGCAAGTCACTAGTATGCAGAGGGGTAGGGCAAGAGAGCCCCTGTAAGAGGTCCAGGATGGATGGACAACTGAACCAGAGGTGGTGTCCTAAATTTAACACAGAGCTGGAAGGAATTTCCTCAAGCTGAACCTGCAGCCTTGGTCAGGGAGGTGCAGCTCTTAGCAGGAGCCTCAGCCAAAGTTAGCCACTGAGAGTATCTGTTCTTCTCTTTCCCCAACTCATGAAGGAAGGTAAAGTCTCACCTCCCCACATTGTACCAAGAAAACAAATTTAAAAACAACCACACACAAGGTAGGAGGAGGTCAAATAGTGTCCCTAAGACAAATAGATTTGCTAAAATTGCCTGAAAATAGTTTGGTGAGCAAAACATACCATGGTTCTCACCCAATCGTGGTGTGATCTTCACATGACTAGTCCGATTCCAAATTCAGAGAGCATCCAGATTGGCAATACTCGGCTACAACTGATAAAAGAGAAGACCGTTTCCTTGCCCATTGCCACAACTCCCACAGTACTTGTTCTTGCTTGCCCCTCTTATGTGCCAGCATAGCCCCACCCCATACCCCACCTCCGTAACCACATTGCTGCTCTTGTCACCCAAGGGGCACAACATAACTCAGATCCATCAATACTTCTCATGCCCACCCCTGTAGTGTTCCTGTTGATGGTTCCAGATCTAAACTTCCAGGAGTGGAGGAAGCAGAGGGCCTTGGGGAAGGCTGGGTGAATGGGGAGGTGGTGGTAGTGGCCGTGGTTATTATTGTCCTGGGTGAGGGAAAGGAGGCTTCTGGGTAAGGCTGCCTCTGGGTCAGAGCTGTGGTACACACTCTCCTGTAGACACACTTAATCCATCCAATCCCTAAATTACATAATTCCATTCATTCTCAGAGTAATAACTATTATTGCCACAATAATGATGATATAATGTCTACATTTACAACTTGACTTTTGAAATGCATTATTTTAGTCAACATAAAAGTATTTTTATGTTCAATAAAGGCAAATTGAAAAATCAGAGAAATATTTTTTGGGGGGCAGATTTACCTATGTTACTCACCATTGCAGGATAATTATCATTATTTACATGTTGCTGCATTTCTAGTACATTTCTACGCCTAAAGTTTAATTTGGTTTGTGGAGCAAGAGTCAGTGGTTTGTTTTGTTTTCATTCATTCATTCATTCAACGTGTAATTTATTGAGGGCCCACCAGCATAGTCAGAATTGTGCTATGTGCCTGGGAAATGATGACTAAATAATGAATAGCGATGGAGCTTACAGACAAGTGGGAAAGACAGATTAAACAAGAAAGTGCTGGACGGGTACTGCAGGCGAGTCCCCATGCAGTGGGGGCTTAGAATCGCGAGCAAAGTAGAGTTTGCCAATGGTTTCACCTGTTTTCAGCACAGTGCTTCTCAGGTCTCAAGTATCTCTTATTCTATAAGCTTGTGCAGGAGGCGTGGTCATGCTATCTGCTTCTCCTCCCTGGAGCATGAGTTCCTTAAAGGTCCGGGACTCCACCAGCCTGTTCACAGCTGTAGCCCCATCTCCTGGACCAGGCCTGCCTCTTAGAAGTGGTGCCCAGCAAACCCTGTTGGCTGGCAGGAGGTTTGTTAGCACATATGGGTCACCTGCTGTCTTCCTCAAGGCCATGTTTAGTGGTACAGCACATCCTGCCAGAGATTCGGTCCCGAATTCAACATTGGCCGG